TTTTGGGGGTTCCGACCAGCCCCCGCCGCAAAACTTTACCCCGGTTTGCGAACGCCGCCTCGGGTTCCGACCTGGATCTGCGGCCAGTTGCCCTGCTGCCACGCGGTCGCAGCTTCCTGTGGGCGAGATCGCGGTAGCAAGGAGACGTTCGGTGAGGCTTGTTGTGTTTTGTGGCGTTTTGGGGGGTTTTTGGTGTGCTTGTCAGCATGGCTCCAAAGAAAGTAATTTGCTTCGGGTTGTGACCAATTCAGGTTGTGACCAGAGTCACGGAACGGATTAAGTTCGTAACCCGAGGTATAATATAGTACTCCACTGAAGCTGTGCACTAATAATTGTTCAGATAACATTCTGAAGGAACATAGTTACAGTAGTGTACTGCTTTCCTTCTTCACTGTAAGGATATGTTATATATAGGTCTTTAATGTTGTTACTCTTTCTCAATTTCATCTTTACATGTAACATATGTCATTTATTGTCAATAACACTATGTACAGTAATTCTTCAAGCACTACATAGCTTACTATTTGCTATGTAAATAATATCTACTCTTTTTTATTACAAATTGAAAACAGATGGCATAGTGATATTTGACTAGCACTATACTTTGAAATTAATGTAAAAATAAGAATTGTACTATAACATATAATCTTAAACATTTCACAGATGAAACGAGAAATACTTTTGTAATGCTGCTATCCTCACACCAACTCCTCTTCTCTTATATGTTGATGATACCTGCTGTAGAGGCCATGTTTGCACCAAATATTAAGTCAGAGTAGGTAAGCAAACCTATCAGCAACAAGCAGCAAACACACTGCTGAATCACTTTCACTTGGATTCTTCTAGAAATGGTTCAGATAATCAAAAACTAAGCAAGATAGAATTACACACCCCCAAAAAACCACCTCTGGCCTGTTGTCCCTCTAATATATTTGGATCATAAGTCAACTTCAAATTCTATTCTGGGCTGTTAGAGCAGACAAACCAGAAATACAGAATCGGATGTATTTTTGTATATTAAATTTCTGGTTACTTCAATCATTCTCATGTGCAGGAGAAAGTGAAAGCAATTGAGTAGCAGAGTCCTTTTACCAATATGTTAGAATCCTCAATACATGCTAACCATCTTGCATGAATGCACCAATGTGTATTCATTTTATGCACTATCCTATCTTCTGTCCTATGCTATCTGACTTCAAAAGTAGGGTGTGCTTATAAAAATACTATGACAGTACTTTAAAAAATATTTAGTAGATCTGGTTGTACTTAGTACAGCATAGCTGCAACTAACAAAATAATGCTGGTCAAGTTTAATTCACATACTGGCTTCACACAGCACTTTAAACTATAAGTTATTTGCTTATTTTATGACGTAAATTATTTGAACTCATACTTGATGGTTTGCTAAATGTTATGATTTAGTATATGGAAAACCAGCCACTGGGGCTTATTCAATAAGCTATGGTTACACAGAATATAAACCCAATCATTGCATCAACTCATTTTCCATTCCACAAATATTCAAAGAGGAGTTATACAGAGCTGTGACTGTATTCACAAAAAATTACTTGCGCATTCCTTAATGCAATTATCAGAAATTAAATCAGTCATGACTAATCTGCCACACTGAGTTAACAGAAATTGGGGCCTCAAACCTCTACACACTTTTCTGATACTAAGTTTTATTGAATTTAATGTGATTAACCTTGGAGTAAACATGTATAGGATTATATTATAATTGTACTTAATTTTCTACAGACTAGGGCCACAGTTCACCAAAACCATAGTGTACCAACAAGACAAACTGAATAGAATACATTTTAATAAAGTCTCCACAGTGCAGATAAATAATTCAAGCCATAGAATGGCATCTGAAATGGTCACTAGCAAAATTCAGTGAGAATGATGGAATTCTACTCTAACAATTACAAACTGAAACCCAGTAATAAAGTCCCAGAAAGTAATTCTGAGTAGTGATGGCTATAGCAGACCACAATGATCCCAAAATACTGACATATATGTGGTAACATCACCATGCAAATGCTATGATACTTGGTTCCAACATCTGATTCAAATATGTATGTCATGGCATTTGCAGGATGACAGCATAATCCACATTTCATTACTTGTTCTCCTCCAACCCCCCCTTCCAGATGCTCATTATTCTGAGTTTTGGATTAATAATTATCAGAATGCAGATGACTATCTGCTCTGCTTCACCTTTCCATCTATGCAGAATTACATTTGAAGATACTTTATTATATCAACCTGCCGGCATATTAAGATATCTTTTTATAGCCGTTATATATCTGTTTACATATCTGCAAGCATAAGTAAAAGTGCTTTTAGGCAGTGATCCTTTCCATATGAAAAAGTGATTAGGATTCAACACGTCAAAATGGGCACAAAAGTCTTGTCTACTGCTACCTTTTCATAATTCTTAAGATTTTATACAGGTACCTGTTTTTGTGGTGTTACTTATTTTGTGACATGTGATTAGTAGGCTAAATGTTGTTTAAATATTATCATAAACTGATACTGCTTTATTTTATAGTATTTGCAAATTTCTTCATTTAATTATGATTGTTTTATAGTTTTTAATGGTTTAAGTTAGATATTACACATTCCCTTTAAAATGTTTCATACAGAGTTTATCTTAATTAAATAAATATAATTGGTATATATTCTATTCTGCCTTTTTAAAATGTCTCTTTAAAAGCTTGATTTGTATAATATCACCTTCTTTAACAGTTCTAGTTGGTATTATTTACAGCTGTTCAATTTTCAGTGCCTCTTTTTTGAATGACAGGAGACCCATTGGTACCCAAAAAACAAGCAAGATATATGACAGGCTTTAGAGAACTTTTATATTATGAGTGAAATCCTATTTGCTGTTCTTTAAATCCAAGCCACTTGTTTCAATCAATGAATGTCCTGTGTACTTCAGTACATGCCACAGCTGCCTAGTGAATCCATCATCCAGCTTTTCAGACAAATTAGAATGAAAGGTCTTCTAGCAAATCAGGAGAAGAGGGCATAAATGGCATGCAAGCAGAGTAATTTTATACTGCTTACTGTTAGTTTCAACATCACAAATTAACTTGAAAAGGGC